TAAAAAAAAAAAAAAAAAAAAAAAAAAAAAAAAATATATATATATATGTATGTATGTATTCATTTATACATATGTGTATATGTATATCTATTTATATATATATATATATATATATATATATATATATATATATGTATATATATATTCATATATATATAAATATATATATATATATATATATATATATATATATATATATATATACATATATTTATATATATAAATATATACATACATCACATATATATATATATATATATATATATATATATATATATATATATATATACATATATATATATATATATATATATATATATATATATGTATATATATATATATATATATATATATATATATATATATATATATATATGTATATATTTATTTATATATGTATATATATACACATACACACACACACACACACACACACACACATATATATATATATATATATATATATATATATATATATATATATATATATATATATATATATATATATGTGTGTGTGTGTGTGTGTGTACGTAAGAAATGTAAACTGAGGAACCCGTTTTCGTGCAACATTACAGCATTTAATATTTAACTACGAAACTATATGCCTTCTTAATGAGCTTGCTTACATACCTTACCTGGCCAGGGTTGTTTCTCCCCATACATAAATAATTAAACAATGCCTCTTTTTTACATATCAGTTTCATTCTTTTATCATTTTTACAATGTCTTTTACTAAGTATTTTACTTGTTCTTAAGTATCCGAGCCAGGTATTCATTTGTATGATAAATGAGATCAGCAGAGTACCGCACGAAATAAACGGCCGTAATAATTTGCGTTTCGCGAAACGATAGCGACAGTATTTTTCGCACATACAAACGTGTGGGTAACAAACTTATTACGTCTAATCAAATGAATAACAACTTTCCGGAAGGGTTAATATCCGTATTAGCAATTTAATCATCATTTAATCTTTTAGTTCAAAGTTAAAATTGGGGATTCGCATTTATCCGACACTGCGTTATTTACAAGAATAATGAATTCATAGAGCGTAGTTAAAATGCATATCAAAATGATAAGCTCCGATAAACATGAATGTGTTGGTTTTGAGAGAGGAAAGAGCAACTGTTGCTCTGTGCATTCTCTCACGCTTCTCATAACATCTATCATGTAAGCGGACTACTGACGTCACGTGGGAAAGCAATAATTTTGGTAGATGTATAAATTACGCACTCGACAAGGAAGGACCGCAGACACTACCAAGAACTGTCCACTTCAAAACCCAAAGACAATGCGCGCATTTTTACTCTTCCTGGCGGTAGCCCTT